AAAAGCGCGCTTGCAAATACGTGGGCTGCGAGACCCTTGCACTAGTACTAAAGCGCAAAGGCAGAACGACATCGTGAAACAGAGGGCTGAATATCACGAGGTATTGCTGGCATATAAAACAAAAAATAAGGCCGCACTTGAACGAGCGGGGAGAAGACATTTTGTAGGCTTCACTTCCAGCACGCTCGTCAGAATTCAAAAGCAAGAGGCGGAGAATGCTCGGCTATAGCCTTTGTCGTGGAAGCCTCACGATACAATACAACAGGGACTACCAGTGGCTCATCAATATCGTTACGTGTACCTACTTATACCTGAGGGGGAGACTAATTGGTCAAAATAAAAGCTGACTGGCACTCCCGGCGATCTTGTTCCGTACCCCATCATCTAATCCTCTTCTTCTGTTTAGTTCTAGAATCTTTACTCGATGTCTCCAACACCGTTCAATACTGGGCGGCTCAGCCTAGTACGCTTTAACATTATTTGTCCAGAATCACTATTTGGTTGCATAATTAAATATGATCCAATAAGGCGTTTTCTTAGGTTACACACCCGGATAAACCACGTCGATTACCATCTAAACTTCGATACAGTCGCTGCTGCTCTAGATAAGCCTCACTCGAGCAATAGTAGCCCAGGGATAAAGCTAGCAAACTCAAACATGAGATATCTGAACCAAGGTATGGTTGCATTCACGAAAGGTGGCCGCCCGCAGGCCAAGGATCAGAGGCTCGAGCCAATCGTCATCGTCGTGATCACGATGCCTAGGAATTCAATGTGCTCGAACAGTCCCCTATGCGAGGAAAGAGTCCTGTCGTGAAAGCCTCACGATACTGTAAAACAGAGGCTACCAGTGGCTCATCAATACAGTTACGTCAGCGCCTGAGGCGAAGCCTAATTGGTCGGTATAAAAGCCGCAAGTCGGCACTTCCGGCGGTCTTGTTCAGTACCTCTTTATGTAGTTCACTTCTCTCTCTCCTCAGATCTGGAATCCTAGTTAGATGACATCCACCCGGTACAGTGCTGGGCGGATCAGTCTCTTACGCCTATTATTTGTCCAAGACCATTCATTTATTTTGTGGCATAATAAATATAGTTCAACAAGGCGTTCTCCTACTCTACGCACACGCTTGAAAGGTCCTTCCACTAAGCCGTAGAAGAACTAGACGCTGGGATTCTAGTCAAGTCCAAAATGATGATGGAGTGTATAGCTGAGAGCTAATAATCACTCACTCTTGCAGAGGTCCCCGCAGAAGATACTAAGGTCACCATGAATATCTCAGGTCTTTTCTTCACCTTTGGGACGGTGGTGAACATGATTATTTCCTTGACCTTTTTGTTCTCTATCTTATCGGTATATAGAACAGTACCTATACTTTTCAGGCCCTCCTATTCAATGACGAGCAGAAATTCCACTTGACAGCTCTTCCGCGCGCGGGAGCTTCTGTATCTTCTACAGAATGGCGATCGACAGATTCCATATTTGCAAAACACATATGATGCTTGCTTTCAGGCTTCTTCCTTCCTCATTTGCATTTTGACAGATGATGCTTTCAAGTCGCTCTCTTGTGCTTTCCTTATTGTACATATTAGCGGAAGATCTTCTTAACATACAAATGCTGGCTTATAAAGATGAATATCGTTGAGCAAGAAGAATAGTATCAGTATATTTCTGCCTGTATGTGGATAAGTTGCGCCTGAACCAATAGGTTCTGGTCTTCAATAAAGTTTTGAAGGTCGTCTCAGCCTCCACTTTCTCAAAAAAAAAACCAAGCTCACAAGACCCGGACCGTAGCGAAACAGATGAAGGACATAATCCTGACGAGCGAAAGGATATCGCCTATGGGAATTTGCTTTGTGTGCACCTTCCACTGCTACAAGGATCAAATGTTTGTCGGTAAACCAGAACCCTGAAGAGGGATGGGAGAGTGATGCGAAGCAGCTTATTTTATAGCTCAATAATAAAACAAGCAGAGAAGGACTCTAATTTCCTGGGCCCTATTACACCCATAAACGTCAACACATAAACGCATTATTGCGAAGAGCCTTCGAAAACGTGACCGCCATGGATGATGCTAGCAAAGAATTATGTTTTGAGGCTTTTCAGCAAAAGTCAGATGAACAGAGTGGAGAAATATCGCATTTGAAGAAGGTGCTAGAGTCAAAGCAGAATGCGGGTGGAGATTTTGAAAAGACGGAGGATGTCTATTGGTCACGTATTGCTGAAGAAGTACATGATGTCAACAAAATGAACAAAGATCTCCACCGAAACACGCGTTAAAAGGCCCAGGCGACGAAGATGAATTGGATTTTTTCTACCATTTCTTCTTCTTTTCTTTTTTTACACATTCATTTTTCATTTACCCTCATTTGCAGCCTGCAGCGCATACGTGACGTCTACACCTGCTTTGAGATCGCAATTGCTCCTGAATCTGCGTATGCAGAAAATCAGGAATCAAGAGTTACGGAAACAGAACAAGCAAGTGATCGACGCGATTGGTCAACTTCCATCACCAAGAGACTTTTTGAGAACCTGATTCAAACGATCCGGAATACAAATGACAGTTGCGGAGCAATCCTCCAGCAGGACACCAACATTGACGTACTCAAATCTTTCGATATCCATCCCCAATTATCTACTTAGGTCTGGAAATGTTGGAGGAGCAGAGGAAAAGAATTACGCTGCAGTTCCATTTGGCTCGGTCGCAGCTTGTCGTCCTCCATAAGCAATACGTTGGCCTCATGGTCACAGGACGGCTAACATTGGTTATGTGAGATTTGTTTCTCAACGGAATGCACCTCGGCAGTAAGAACCAGCCACTCACACTCGACCACAGCAGCAAGAACTGCTGATAACGAACAGCTTGGAATTCTTGGGCAACTACAGCATCCAACTAGCCGCTATGAGACGTTCTAGACGCAGACGCTAACCGCCTGCAATACCATGACGATTTCCTCAGGAAGTAGGAAGCCATAGCGAAAACAGAACAGACTATGGAAGAAGAAGTAATACCAAGACTCGATGCAATTTACAACTTGCTGAAATGAAGACATCGAAAACACAGAAAATGGCCGACACTTCAGCAGCAGCGGAACTCACCAAGGGGCCGAAGGGTGCGGTTTTTAGAAGGAGTTCTTGGAGGAGGACACCCGTGATGCCGGTGACGTGCAGTTCATCGACATGTAGAAGCTTGTCTCAGCCGTGGCGGTGACGCACGTCGAGAAAGCCACAGTGAGGTGGACTCAACACATGGCATCTTTAGAGATCCGAACATTGAGAATTAGCACGTGCGGACCAACTGCTGAAGGAAACCTTTGATTTCAGTGAAGGGCCAGGCGGAGCAGCAGTCAAGCCAGTCACTGAGGAGACGTTCGTGCGCGAGACATAGGTTCTTACCAATACGTCCGAGCAAGCGAAA